CGTCAGGTCGGCAAATCACCTTTTTGGATGCCTTGCCCTTCCCCTTACAACTCACCACTTGCCAGGCAGCAGAGAAATGGTTGTCCACTCTATGGAGCTCCGCAGGAGTTTTGCTACTCGCAGTACCTTGCTCCTTTCTCGCGTCCAGCTCCTCAGGTTCGGAACTGGGTTTAACATCAACCCCTTGTTGGGGCCACCTACGCTGGATGGTACCGTCGTTGGAACCTTCGGTTTAATGGCGGTTCCTCCTTGTTCATTGGTGTCTATGGTAAGCATCTCTGACGCCTCTTCCCTCTTTCCTAACGGGCCTTAGATTGTACATATTTTTATGTGTTTAATTAAAATTCGTCCACCCGGCTTCTCACCCTCCATGGAGCCCGCAACTTTGGGAACGCTCTTTTTTAGAACAAAAAGAATTTCGGGCGTTAGGATTATCAGGGGAATATAGGGACACGAAGTTGGTTCACAGGGCGACATCGGGAGCTCGATCCAGTTGGAAGATAGGGCTGAGAAGGCCAACCCCCACTGCCCGAATAGACTGTCACTTGCTCCGCCAGCATGGCTTTTACCACCACCTAGTCCTTTTCAGGAAAACTAGGCAGCCCCCACATCCTTTGCCTGCGACCCTCTGACAGGACGCTTGGCCATTTCTTTTTTTATCTGTGGCTAGCAGATAGGGCCACTGTCTAGCTTGAAATCCGGACCAAAGAGGGCGTGTTGTCTTGACACTATATACCGCAGTGACGATCGGCTCAACCCTCTATGACTCCTTTATCCCCACGTACGGCGTTCGACTGCAAAGGTCCTAGTGCAGGTGGAAGTTTTAGTCCATCGGATACACCCACTCTCTTCGGCTGAACCTCTCCTCCTCTTTTATCCGAGTTTGAGACCGGCTGCACCAAAAAACACAGAGTCCAAGATAGAGCTTAAGGGGCTGTCAGGACTCAAAAAAATATTATATCCACACGTGGAGCCATTGCATACGTCGCGTGTAGCGGGCAGCCTGCACGACGTAGCGGTGTTCTAGTGTGTGAACAGACACGTACGCGAACCCGCCCAAAGCAGCGGATTTGTTTACGTGTGTATCGCTGGCTTCGCCTGGGGAGCTTTTATTAAAGTGGCATTATTTAGATTTAAGATAATTATCGAAGACCATTTCTTTTATTATTTTTATCTATTATTAGGGATATATTATTATCCCATACTTGAAGCGAGTACGAGATGTAGCCGGACATACATCAAATTGCTTGGACCTTCTGCTGACAACAGACCCAGACAGGTACTCGGTATCTATCAGCTTCGCTGGGGTCATCCGGGAACTGTCTGGTGAAATTCGTATCGATCATATCTCCTGACTGTCGTGTCCAGCGGGCACGAGGAGAGTATGGCGATATGAATCAGAATCAGAATAGTTTATTTGTCAAACATAGGTAGGTTTGAAGGTCTCTTCCGAGGGTTACAATTATTAGTACGCTATGTTTTGTCTTAAAGACATACAAATATAAGTGTGTGTTCGTATGAGAATCGTGCTATAAAAATAAAATAGAATAAAAATTTATGAAATTTTAACACTAATTAAGATTCTACATTGGTAAAATTAAATAGATGATAATAACAAAATAATTTAATTAGTCGATATAATTTAAAGTTAATATAATTAGTCAAACGAGTCAGCAGACTGGGATGAGAAGCTGTACTTTCCGTGGCGGCAAGTGTGATTTTTTTCGGATTGAACCCTAATGCTTTGCCGATGCGGTTGCGGACGTGATAGGGCAGGGAATGGAATATTTTATTCCCTTCTCCGACATCCTGCTCGGTCTCTAGGCCCGGCCCTGGTATAATGCGGCTTGCGCTCTTGCTGATGCCCGAAGAGTTCGCCTACCAGGCCTGGGTTTTAGCGCGCGATCGCAGTTAGGGCTCGAAGGGTTCGTGCGAAGAACTTTTAATTCTGCTGCCAAGTCGTGCAAGCGGGTTTTCCGCAGTGCACGATTCGAACATGTCAGTCGTGTAGGTGCCAGACTAGCTTCCCACCCTTCTGGTAGTAAGCAATTTTGTTCCCTTTCGTAGGCCGTCAAATCCAACTTTTGCCGTCCCTCATTGCCACCTATGCAGAAACCTGATGGAAAACTGCCTCACTCCACGATTGAGAAAGTAAATTTATTCGCATATCTGTTTGCGAGCAATTCTCACCTAAATTCTGGCTCTAAACAACCGCCAACCCTGCCCCGGTGCGACTCTTCGATGCCGAAAGTCACTATCCATATAAAAGAAGTCGTACATAGTACAAAGAAGTAGTACATAGAGCTTTGCAAAATCTAGACGTGGACCAAATGGTATTCCTGCAAGGATACTTAAGCATTGTGTTAAGTTTAAGTTGTTTCCTACTCTGAGGTGCCTGTACCGCCTCTCTCTTAAAACTCAAACATTGCCCAAATCTTGGAAGCTAGCCAATATGCAACTAGTACCCAAGAGTAGTCGTGCCGATTCCTGTAATTATCAACCAATAGCCATTTTATACGTGGTAGAGCCACGCTACAGCTATATTTTGGTTGTCGCACAAAAGGGTCGATTCGACCAGGGAAGGTCCACGCTCTCACAGAATACCAGCGTAAAATAGCAGCTCGATGCTGCTGCGTTTCGTTTGGTGAGTGTAAAGAATCGGAGTCCCGTTTTACTGGAATCGAGGCATTTCATCTTAGTCCTCAGGGGTGACAACACATCTGTATTCTGATTCTTAATCGATCATAAATTTAGATGACTATGTGCCACAGCATCTACTTACCATTAGGTAAACTGTGTGGTCGTTTGTCACCCTAACCCTATTAAAAAAAACCTCCATACTCTGTAAGGTTATGGAAAGGGTACTGAATAGTAAGCTGCTGACATACCTTGAAACAAATGACCACCAATATGGCTTTTTTTACTTTTGGGGCGAGGCCATCGAGAAGCTCTCGCAGTTTCACTCGATATCTCGAAGGCTTTTGACTGGGTTTGGCACGCAAGTCTGCTGACTAAGCATCCTGCCTACGGCATCCCCGCTGAATTTTGCAACTGAATATCTGACTTTCTGGGTGAACGGTCGATCAGGGTAGTTATAGATGGCTGCTCTTCTGACTGGGTCTGTTCTCTCTGCAACTCTTTTCCTGTTGCACATCAATGAACTACTTCTACCAGTTATTGTTGGGTATGCAGATGACAGTAGTCACAGAGAGATTTATGCCCTGTGCAAAAGACATAGGAGCAGCAATACGTTCATTTGGAGAGGCCATGGTGATGCGGATAAATGTGACCTTAACTCTAGTCAGGCCTCTGTAACTCTTGCTACCTGCGTGAAATAATTACCTAAAATCGCGATTCACCCAGGGTGTAATACGCAGTCGGGGCTAGCGCGTTCTGGGCGATTGATGTATTTTAACGCTGTTTACGTAAATAGTTTTTTGTAAGCACTTATTGTAATTTTTGTTTAGTGTTTAGTATTTAATTGTAGGATAAAATAGTTCTAATTTTTTAACGTGATTTAAAAATAATATATGTGTATATAACCTATCTATTTGATAAATTATAATGACAAAACGTCGAACCTACTATAATTGTTGCGTGGATGGATGATAATAAGCAAACAAAAGGATTCAGATATATCATTTTTAAGTTACCTAAGGATAGTGAAACGTACATTTATTTCATTTTTTTGTTAAATAAATACTTATAGCAAAAAATAATTACGTAATAATTTAAATACAGAAGTAATACTTAAGTACTTTATTACAAAACTTAGTTGAAATTTACGTAGGTAACTTACATGTCTTTTGTAATTAAAATATTTTAAGTTATCACAAAGGACTGAAATTAAAACTTTGTTTACAAGATTTTTAACTAATTAGAATACAATTACATTTCATTAAGGAACCGTATTTCAAGTTCATTTGTTGTTTACACTATCTACCTATTTCTTCTCAGCGATTTATTAAACCGCGATTCGCGACGAGTGACCTTGCACGTTGCATGCGTTAGGCACAGAATTCGCATAGTAGCAAAAATATGTTCATTCGATCAGTCGTAATTGGTACCTTACCTATTTTACTCACCATTTCGCAACGTTTAATTAATTTATTTATTTATGGTGGCCTCATCGCTTAGCAGTGATCTCTTCCAGGCAAGCCTTGGTAACGTACGAGTAGCACTACATATCGCACATTGAGAAGAAGAACGTCACTAAACAAAACTAAGGTAATTTTACATTAAAACGCCATCTTTTTATTCAAAAAACAATCTCTGTATTGCAAAGACTCGTTTTGTCGTAGTTCCTCTAATTGTGGCTAGATAGCGTAGTGACGTTATGGTTTTCTGGCGGGGCGGCACGCTTTAGGACAAGAAAGAGCGGCATTTTTTTAGTAGTGACAGAGACACGACGCGTATCACTACAGGGCCTACGAAGAATAACGTTGTTGTTTGGATAGTGTCGTTGTGTAGTAAAACTTTTTGGTAAGTTTTTAAGATTGCTTGAAGTAATAACGTCTTTATATGAATAGTGTCGATATTCTATCAATTTAGTACACCACAAAGTGTCGAAATACAAAGTTACATAGTGTCATTTTGAGTATAAATACATTATTGTTTTAATATTGATATGTTTTTTTAAAATCTTTATGACATTTTGCATTAAATGTCAGTATTCATATAATACCAAACTAGAAATTAAGTTTTTGATTGAAAGTAAAGGAGTCATATTTCGTTTAGTGCCTACAATTAAGTAGCAAATAGTATAAAATTAGTTGTTGTACTTTTTTGAAGATTGTCGTTTTAAATTGAAGTTTATTTTATTTAAGTTAGTTTTTTTGTAAAAAAAAAACAGTATCATATCGACATATTGCTGGAAGCAACAGTTATTCACGTCATCATTTGAAGATAATACAAAAAACTTTAAGACATAAAGCCACATTTTGTTTAACTACACAATATTGATATGGTTTTAATGTTTTTTCTCTTCTATTTCAGTCAAAATGTCACTACCAAATTCCAGAAGTCTAGCATTAAAAGAAATTATTAAAGATCTCCAAAAAAATAGCTCAACAAATAGCGAAGTAGAAAAAGAAAATTTATTACCAGTAAGCCCAACCGACCAGAAAGAACCGATAGAAAATCAAGTTGTACCTTCTACTTCAAAAAGAAACATACCTTTAAATGAACGTGCTTATAATGTACACCAAAGTTTACGTGATAAAGGATCGTCCTACTCTTCCGATCAAAAGTCTGATCAAGATTTTTCGCCTGCTTCCGATGATGATAGGGAGTATATACCCCCATCTATAGCTGACAGTTCGTCTTCAGACGATGATTTCAAGCGACAAAATAAACAAAAACAACATAAAACTTACCTCTCTCAGCCAATCAAATCTTTGGAAGAAACAAAGTGTCCAATTAAATCCGACTCATCAAGATCAACTTCTATGTCGTCATCTTCTAATACTTCGAAATCCAACTCTAACACCAGCTCCGATTCCAGCTCCGATTCCAGCTCAGATTCTAGTTCAGATTCTTCTAGCTCAGATTCCGAGTCTGATTCCTCAAAATGTAAAAAAAATAGTAATTTTGTTCCTTCACCAGCTAAATTAAAACGCTATAGTTCTCCGGTTGTAAATACTTACCCCCCCTCAACCAAAAACTTCATCAAACTCAATGCAATTAGCCGAAAAATCTGTATCATCAGATTCAGAAGATTACACATCTCATTTTAAGGAAGTTTCTTCCATAAAATCAAATATTAATACAAATAACATTTCTGGACACATCCCTCTTTCTGAAAATTTACTTAACATCAGTCCAAGTGCTTTAAATTTATCTACAGAAATTTCAACGGATGTCCGAAAATTCCATAACTCGAATGAACCGTTACCACTAAAAGTTCTTGCATAGAAAATTGTCACCTCATTAATTACACATCAACAATCTGATTTGTCTGCTTCTCGTTCAGCGGAGTGCCAAAATTCTAACTCTTCTCCTAAAAAGACACGCAAAAGAAAACGAGGAATAAACAAAAAAGCCTTGGCAAAAACATTGCGCAATTTAGGGCAATCATATACATCTACCTCAAATGTTGTTAAATCTTGTAGAAAAATAGGAAATCCTTGCGGTGATGGTTGCCGACAAAAATGTAAGGAGAGGATTTCGGAGGAACAGCGTCAAATTATTTTTAAACGATACTGGAGCATGGGATCTCTAGTTAAACAAAGAGAATTTATATCCAGACATATTAGGGAAATCAAGCCTAAATACCAATACAAAAAAATTGATAGCAATAGAAAACCTAAACATTCTTTTTATTTCACTATAGATGGGGAAAAAATTAAAGTTTGCAAAGTCTTTTTCAAAAATACATTGGGATTAAATGACAGACCTATTCGCACCGTGATTGAAAAATTGAATTCGTCAGGAATCGTTGAACCAGAACTTCGAGGTAAACATAACAAACATCGTCAAGTACCAGTGGAATTGTTAGATGGAGTCCGACAGCACATAAATAGCATACCTAGAATCGAAAGTCATTTATTAAGGAAACAAACCAGCTGAGAATATATTAATGGAGGAAAATTACTAACCGATTTATACACAGACTATAAAATGAATGCGAAAAGAACGGACTGCCATATGTTAAAATCCACATGTACCGAATTTTTTTAAAGAAATATGTAATATTAGTTTTTATATTCCCAAGAAGGACCAATGTGGAGACTGCATTAAATATCAAAATTCACAACATTCAGAAAAGGAAAAGCTCGAAGAAGAACACAGAATTCATTTACAAGAAAAAGAAAAAAGCCGAGTAGAAAAATTGAAAGATAAGGAAGCCGTAAGCGAAAAAAACATAGTAGCCTGTTACGATTTACAAGCTGTTCTACAAGTACCTAAAGGTAATGCGAGTCAGTTTTATTATAGATCCCGATTGAATTGTTTAAATTTTACAATTTGTGAATTGGCAAAGGATCATACTGAATGTTTCTTTTGGACTGAGGTTGAAGGAGACAGAGGTGCCAATGAAATAGGCTCTTGTGTTTTAAAGTATTTACAAGATAAAACAGCAGCTGCATCTGAGGCATTAGATTTCATTTTTTACAGTGACAATTGTGGTGGGCAGCAGAAAAACCAGTTTGTATTTTCTATGTACATTTATGCAGTTAAGAATCTCGATAAAATTCGGTCAATAACGCATAAATTCTTGATAAAAGGGCATACTCAGAATGAAGGAGATGCTGCACATTCCACGATTGAAAAACAAATTAAAAAGAATCTACGGTCAGGACCAATTTATGTTCCAGACCAGTATGTAAGTGCTATAAGAGATGCAAAAAAAAGGGGAAATAAATATATAGTAAAGGAAATGAGTCATTACGAATTTTATGACATAAAGAGCCTACAAGAATATAAACTTGTGAAAAATAAAGAAGGAGAAAAGGTTAAGACTAGTGATATTAAAGTTTTAAAAGTTAAAATGTCGGAAAATGTGTCTGATGGCATAAGAGTTTTTTATAAAACTTCTTATTTACAAGATGCATTTAAAGAAATAAATTTGCAAAAGTTAAGCCGGGCCAGACCTCAATTAAAACAATTATATTCATCAAGAATATCTTTATCTGCTGCTAAAAAAGCTGACCTAAAGAAACTTATTAGCAAGCGTGCTATTCCACTTTACTATGCTTGTTCTTTCTACAATTTTGTTCTTAATTGATTTCAATTTTTAACTGATCTCATGTTATTTGATTTGCTATGTAAATTGATATACTTTATTTACTACACATTTATGCCTTAATTATGTTCTAACAGTAAATGTTCTTTAGTTTGACTATTGATTTTTATAGATTTTATAAAAAATGTTTTGGTACTCAATTATTATTTTTAGTTTTTAGATTGGTAGTTTAGTACTTGATCTATAATGTTCCTAATACTTAAGTAAAATAATATTAATATTCTAATAAATAACGACAGATTAATGATTATTTACTACGGAGACTGATTTGGTAAGCTTACAATTAGAATAATTATTCATAAAATTAGTCACCATTACTATTGATAGTAATAGTTAACACTCCCAAAGATAACTGTCAGACAATAAAAAATACATAACTATGTATTCCTTTGTTTTATTTTTTCGATATTTCGCAACTAATTTGAAATTAGTAATGTAATTTTAAAAAAATTACATCGCTTTTGTGACTCTTATGACTACAACTTGTCACTGGTTCTGCAGTAATAATAAAAAGAAGAATGACACTAAACAAATTTTTATAAAAAAATCAACATTACAAGTCAAAGAAATTAATAATAAAAAGTAAATTATAATATTAAAATAGTTTTCTATTATTTTTAGTGAAAACAGCATCAAAAAATAGTTTCGAAGTCAAAAACTGCAATGGTGTCATTTTTTCATACTTTAAATGCTTATTCCTCAAAACTACATTTTTTGTTTAGTGACGTTCTTCTTCTCAATGTGCGATATTATTTTATTCTATGCCTTGGTGAAGGAGATCCGTAAATAGAAGTGTGCATAAATAGTAGATAAATGAGCATATATTAATACATATTATAAGCTTAATAAGTACCTACTTACATGTGTTTTTAATATATTCTTGACAGCCCTAAGTAACCACGGAAAACATCACACAACGGATGTGGGAATGCGAAAAGATGCAAAGTAATACGGACACTCGCGCGCAGTGATAAAGGTTTATTTAGCTTGCGTGCGCGATTTATCTCATGAAATAATAATTATGTAGACTATTAAACGTCTGTAAGCAGTCAACATCAAAAGAGTGTACGTAGTCCTATGATTTATTCTGTGCTCTAGTCTCCAAATGGCGTAACGGCAATTTGGTTACTTTTAACGCTGCAGGCATGTCTGTTCTCCGCAAAACGGAGTATATTTGATCTGACTCCTACTTTCCGAGGTACATCTGTAGAGATTACTGATCACCTTGAGCTTCTCGGCATACAGTTGAGTGTTAACCTGGTATTTTTATTTTGTATTTCGGCGCTAACATTGAGTCGAAAGCATAGCGAAAAACTAATTAGGTATTCTAGGTAGGTAGGTTAGGTATTCTAAACAAGCTGAAGCGACACTTCACGTCTGGTGAGCTCCTAACTTTATACAAAGCTCAAGTCAGAACATGCATGGAGTATTATAGTCACCTTTGGGAATTTGGGATGGCTCAGCAAAATATCAACTTGTCCCACTCGATTCAGTGGAATGCAGAACCAAGAGGCTTATCAGCGACAAAAGCTGGTGGAAACTAAGCTTCACAGCTTAGCTCACCGCCGCCAAGTTGCTTGTTTTCGGTCTTCTTCAGATTGTACTTCGGAGTGCGCCTATGCGCTTCATAAGCTTACACTGTCATCTCCATTCGCATATCGGAGTACCGCATTTAGTTGATATTTCGAATATTCGCACTATGCTTTTTATTTTGTATTTCTTCAATAATGCGCACTGACAAGTACTAGTGGAATGCCCTGCCGGCGTATATTTTTTCGAGTACCTATAATCTGGACAAACTCGCTCCATCATGGACCTCGTCTTTACCCCCGGGCCAGATGGAGGTCAAGAGTAAGTGCATATTTAGCCTTGTAAAAATAGAATAAAACTAATTTTACAGATTTTATCACGTTTAATTTTAACTTTTATTTCACGACGTTTCGGGCACTTTAAACCACCCATATTCACGGAGCCGTGCGGCTGGGGCAGGTATTTGACCTCCGGAGGTAGTTATAGGAATATAATATATAGGAATAGTTAACGAAGGCTACCTTTAACTTTTAATTATTAATTTTTGGTCCAATCTAGATCAAAATTATCAGGATTAAAGAGAATAAGCCGATTGGCAAAAAGATAATGCGGTAACGTCTATTTACGTTATTAACACACTAGATAATCAAAATAGAACAAAAAGGTAAAAAAGTAAGGAAAACTCTGATCGAAAATCTTATGTGTAATGATGAAAAAACATTTTTGATAAAATTGCCATTTATTATGATGTCAAATAGTGTCCAAACAAATTGGTAATTTCCTGTCAAATTTGACAGAATAAATAATGTTCTCTTTATCTTTCATTACCAGCTTATACCAGACAATACCTGTTATTTTACAATACTAGATAACTATACTTATGCATATAAACTACATACTTAAATCAACGCTGTATGTAACCTATACAACCCAATACAATTGTACAAAATATCCTCCAATACTTCTAATACAGATTTATAACATTGTTACAATTGTTCATTTATAAATTAAGGCAAAGGAAACTTAAAAGTAAAGATCACCAATAAAATAAAATTTTCACTAGACAATGACATTCAAAGGCCGTTATAGGAATGTGTGGCTTTAAATTCAGTCACAATAATCTTTTAATTAATGAGTTATGAATCGAAAAACTTTGTTTTTAATTTAGATATAGTTGACGTTCTGTAAAATAAATACGACATAATAACGTTGCTGTTATTATAAAGATATATTTCTAAAAGACATAGGAAAATTACTGGTTAAAGAAGTGGTGACTATAGTTTAAGTAGTAGGTTAATTAACTAAGAGATTCTTTCCATATTTATGGTTGTATATATATTCTGTTCTATTTTTATTTCAAGTCCAATCTTGCCATTTTTGCATAATCACAATGCAGGCATTTGCAATGCTATCCTCCTCTCCACTTTGTCAGAGGCCAAAATGCTAATCAAACTTTATTTATATGTAGTGTGAGTTTAGAGATGTAATCTTTTCCTACTTATGAGGGTAATCATATCACAGGAGTTTGCAATATATCTATTTTTGTTGTTTTTTTGTATGTAGCTTCGTCATTTTCCATGTACGAGGGTAACAAAACCACTTTTTTCCTATGTTTTTATTAAGTCACTTTCTTGTTTTTCTGTCTGTTTGTGTGTCATTTCGGGTGGAATTTAGTAATTGATTTTAAACTAACTTCCCGATAAGCTGGAAACTTGATATTTTCAATATAGCTCAAATGACAATGCAAGAATGTGATAAAAACGTGGTAAAAATTAAAAAAAACTCACTTGTTCGAAAATTGATTTGCTCATTTTATTGAAAATTTATAAAACAGTATTCATGTGGCATTTGATAAAAACGTTAAAGAAATTAAAAAAAGTCTAATCTATTTTTTTTAGGAAAATAAATGTCTATATGGACTTGAATACCAATTAACAATGAATATCTATTGTCCGTTGGATGTATATAAAAAACTCAAACACATCCAAAATATTATTACCAAAAATGTTTCTGTGGTGTGGCAAGGAAAGATTTTAGGGAGCGACATTTTGGGAAAAAAGTTAGTCCTTAAGTTTCTCAAGATGCCAGTAAAAATCTGAAAACTAGTTTTACTGAATGAATTTGATAAAAACAAAACAATCACTGTCGCGTTAAACTTAGAAAATAGAGATAATCTGCACACGCACACATTACACCCATTTGCCAAGGGTAGGGATGAGTATTTATAAAAACACATGTTTTATTTATTTTTAAGTATACAAGACTTAACGATTTTATATTTTTAATATACTTATGGAAAATATATTAAAAATATAAAGAGGGGAGGATTATTTATGGCTTCGGACGGCAGCAACCCATTCTACGTATTTTCCCACCCACCCATTCCATAATACGTATTTTCATTCTTAAAAAAGTAATGCCAAGGTCAAAGTAAAGTAGAGTACGATTTTCCTGTATTTACGTACTCTATATTTTTATAGCAGTAAACATAAATTAGCACTTAAAGGATAATAAAATTAGGAAAAAAAGCATAGAATGATTAACAATAATCATATCAGGAAAATCAGTTATAATAATTAATTTGTTCATAATCAACATGACATACAAGTGATAAAATTATAAATTTTGTACAACCGACTTCAATATAAATAAAATGAGAACATCATCAATTTAGTCGAAGTCAATTAAATACGCATTATTAAGTATAACTCAAAAGCTACTGGTCAGATCTTGATCAAATATAAATGAGACTACATGAGTAGCACCAGCTTTCAAATAAAAAAAGAATAATCAAAATACGTTCACACATTAAAAAATACAGTCGTATTGAGAACCTCCTCCTTTTTAAGTCTTTTTTAAGTGCATTTATTGACGGCGTGCGGTGACAGCATATGAGAATCTGGTATTTCAGAGTTGTAAGCTTGTTAGAGTATGACCGGAAAGAAAACTAATTTTAGTATGGAATGCATTTTCGGCCGAAACCAGAAAAATACAAATTGTTGTGTAAATTTGTATTTTAGTAAAAGTTAGTATTTATATATACTTAAACTAGTTATATATCATCGATTATTGCGTGAATAGAAAATAAAAATAGTTAATATATATATATATATAATGATTATAATAACATATGAGTTCATATTAATGATTTAAGCGCGCGCCGAAAAATTTTTTTACCAAAACGCAAAAATAGCCTAAAATGATTATTGGGGCCAAGAACAGAAAACGAAATTCAGATGGACTCTTAAGCTTGTATGTCAACAGGCCTATCACAGATGGAATTTTAACTCCCCCATGCCACATCTCATATAAATTTAGATCTGTTGGATGACAACATCAAAGCTTCAAAATATTACATACGTATCTTTAGAGATTCCATGAGTATTGTGCAGCAGTGGATTGAACAGGCTTGACGATGATGACGACTACCAACAGGACAAATAAAAATTACTGTCACAAATTAAAAATAATTTGTAACATATAATTAAAAATGTAGATACTAATATATGTATATAATGTTTATTATATCTATACTTGAATTATTGGTCTCCAAGGAAAAGTAACCGATACTAAAAAATAAATAGAGAAGAAATAGATTTAAAAAAATATTCACAATAAATTTTGCATCTAAAGCAATAATAATTAGTATCACAATATACATTACAGTTTCATGGTAAAAAAAATGTTAATAGTATTTGTTTTTGTTGTTGATAGACACATTTCTTCCGATATGCGATAAATGTTTTTTATTGAGTTTTTAATTGTTTACTATTACAAAGATAAAAATAATTGGATTAAAGGAAAGAGATTACTTTTATTTGGAATGACGTGGTGTCATTTTAATAGATGCATCTCTTTTTGTTTACCTTTTTGGTAGATTAGTAATTATAATATATTATAAGTTCTTTACCTGCATATTATTTGGTTCTGAACGAAACATATTATGATGAAACCTCTTATGCATATATATATATATATATATATATATATATATATATATATATATATATTTAGAGCATAGGAAAGTACGTTGTATTATGTAACAAAGTTATTTTGAAAATTAATATAAGTCACCATTTTTATTTCTAGCAAAATGGCTGTTGCATCTATCAAAATTCAAATAAAAATATCACTTTAATATTGCTGTGAGGTTCTATTACACAAAACTTGATTTTTTTAACTGAACTCTATGATAGCTATATTGTGAGGACAAAATAAACTTCTCCATAAAATATTATAATTATTGGACTTTTAATTCATAATGTGAAATGTTTGCATTTGTGCATTCCCATACTTATCCAGCTACAATCACATCGGCAGCTGCATATGAGATTTAAATTGAAGAATATGTGTTTAGTGAAGGCCAGTATTATAATACTAAACCATTCCTATAACTAAATGTAACAGCAATATAAAACAAAAACACAAGACGCATTTAGAACATAACAAAAATTAACATGGAACACCATGAAGCATAAACAAAGTATTAATTTCGTTAAATAACTGATTTTTGCACGATCAGCAAAAATGGCACCAGAACATTTACATTTTATGTTTTACTGATACTAACAGTCAAAAAATCCGAAGTATGTTTGAAATAAAAAAAATAACGAAATGTGATGTTATGAATATATTTTAGATCATATTTTATAAATCATTCTCTCTTATAAAATATGAATTAAATGCTATTCGTCGTATAATAAAATACAAAATAATTTGATACATACAGCACATATTTCACAGGTATCAAAATTAAATGAAAAATTGTCCTTATGTGTGTTTTATGCACTACACGATCGCAGCAATATTACTGTTAAATCATTTGTCTCGTCATCGCGTGCCGCATTTTACGCTCCCAGGATTCGGCCTCGGCCCACGAATGCCGAACGTCGCGAAACAGCTGAAATTATAAATTATACACAATTGATTTTTTAATTAAATTCAAATTTGCATTATGCAAGCTACTTTACAGAGACCAGAAACAGAAAGAGAAACTTTTTTATTTAATGTAGATCATAACAATACTTATTGATAGTCACTTCTTTCATTTACCACTTGTTCGCAAAAAAAAAAACCTCTGTGCTGGTAACCAGCAAGAAACCCAGCGGGACTATTTTTTTATCCAATAATGCTTACAATCATGTTTACAATTAACAACACAAGACAAATTAGAAATGGCTTGGGAGCGATACAACTTCCCAGGGGTTATTATCATCCATAAATTCCTTAATATTATAATAACCCTTTTTGTACAAACTTAGTTTAATAACATTTGACATGTTGACCAGACCAACATGTCTCATGGCATACATAGACAAATTTTTGCATGATTAAAAAAGAATCTTTTTCCCAACACTGCTCCAAGTTGGGAGCAACTCTACACAAACTGGATGGGCAATGTGAGAGGCAAGCTAAAAATCTTCTTCGACAATCATTAATACATGCCATATATGCCATTTTTCATCACTTTCGTGTTCTTTTCAATGTACATATGGATATCAATTCTCGACTAAATTAAATCTATTGCCCTTTTACCTTTCTTTTCATCACCGATCACGTCATTACTAATGTCTAAATATGAGCATGAAATCTCATGTGGTTTGCAAGATGATGTTGTGACCAGGATTAAGAAAGGAATGCTTCGGTGGTTTGGTCATGTGAAAAGAATGAATGAGGAAAGAGTGACAAAGAAAATTTATGTTGCAGAAGTGAATGGCAGAGTCGGAAAGGGACGTCCTAGGCGAAAATTTATCGACCAAATTGGCGATTTATTGAAAACGGGCCAAATTAGGAGTACCCTTAACCGACGAGCTTGTATGCGGAGGTGTATGGATGTGAAGGAGGTGAGAGAGGTGTGTCAGGATCGTGCCAAATGGAAGTCTGTAGTCTCTGCCTACCCCTCTGGGTGACAGGCGTGAGTGTTTATGTTTGTTTGAAATCTAAATATGAGTTACAACATCCTTCACCCTTGCCGGTAGGTGTCATGATATTTTACATTGCAAAGTTGACATATAGATCGCAGAGCTACACTAGAGTTAGTTAAGAGAGCTTAGTTTAAATGTGGCTGGCACTTTACAGTTGCATTAGTTTAGTACCCGAAAACTGTCTTCGCAAACTGTGACTGTGTGGTAAATTGTGTGGTAGGTAGTATGGTAGTCGAAAATATAACGTAATGACGTTGATTATTTTCATCACACAGTGCGAGTCTTTATAAAGTACACATATCAAAACCAGGGAAACTACACATAATTTCATCGACGGAAAAATTATAAAAAAAATAAAAAAAGTTATAATTTTTTTAATGAATATTTTAAAATTTGAAATTGCAGCTGCTAACCCTATTTAAATAAATTATTATAACTTTTAAACTGAATGTACTATCAAAATGGAATAAATTTTTAAATGATTGTTAACAATAAGTTGTGCCAATAAAGTAAAAATTTCTAGTAAAATAAACGTCATAAAATTAGAATAAAGAGGTTTTTATGAAAATCTGGTATTTTTTTCATCATTTTTATAATAACTGTTCGCGACGGCCTAACAACCTTAAGAAACAAAATGATAAAGAATATTGTTTTATGTATTAATAGTGAAATTACCAAGAAAACTGAGTGAAAACGTGTATTAATATAGTTATTTAGCATATTTATAACTCTCAATATGTTTGTATAGAATGTCGTTTTGATAACAAGTAATATAAACAACTTTTATTATATACCAAAAAATCGACCAATCACAGCGCGTCTTATTGTAGAACTCTCTAGAAGTTTTTTAATTAACTGCGTAATAGATCATACTAAAAATAATGAAAATAATTTTATGTCCTAAAAGAGTTATAAATATGACATTGAATTAGCATATGGCTTATAGATTAAGAAAGTATAGGAATATTTTTTTATAATTAAACGCATTTCGTAGTTATGGAAAAATTAAAGAATTAAAATGCCCAAATATTATGAAAATTTGGGACATTTCGTTTAATAACTTTTTACAATGTTAATGTTTTTAGTAACCTTTATGATATATTAATAAAGTATCAGACTACCGATTTAATGATGTATAGCATGTTAGTGTAGCAATTAGTTTTGTATAGAAAATATTGCAATTTATGCCATCTGTATAGTGATAAGTTTATGCAATAAAGAGGCAAAACGGAAAATGGCAAGCGGCTCACTGCAAAGTATTGCTAAAGTCTACCTTAGGGGCTCGGGACCCAGTACCAGTAGTAGTGTGAAGAACTACCAGTGACTAGTGAAGTGAAGTGAGTGGTATCCGGTGGTAGCTGAAGTGACTAGTAGCAGTATATAGTGAATAGTGAAAGTGTTAGCTAGCCGAAAAAGGTCGTAACTGACATTCGCAGTTACACATAGTGAAAGTGTTAGCTAGCCGAAAAAGGTCGTAACTGACATTCGCAGTTACATAGTGAAAGTGTTACCTAGCCTAAAAAGGTCGTAACTGACATTCGCAGTTACACATAGTGAAAGTGTTACCTAGCCTAAAAAGGTCGTAACTGATATTCGCAGTTACATATAGTGAAAGTGGTAACTGATATCCGCAGTTACACAAGTGATAAAATCAACTAGTTTAGTTGATAATAGCTGCTAGTCAGTAGTGTTAGAAAACCAGCTACTACCAATAGATATTTGATACCACCGTACAATTTAAAGAAATCTTTTGAAATATACAGTGAACAACCGTAGTTTAACAACCGTGAATAATAGTTATAAAATTTCGCGATTAATCAATAAGTTGAACCGCTGGCCACTACCTTGCTATTTGTATTTGTTAATCGTGCATTTTGATTTTAACTACAGTCCACAATATTTCAGCGGCAACAACAAAGACGGCGGTGAGAGTACCCACCGGAACCTATAGGTGTAGGACGTGAGCGACTCGCGAAGTATCTTCGACAACATTTACTCCGGAGAGTTTCGCCCGTCCGGCACATTCGTTGGTCCTTCGAGCAGGATTTATCCGTTTGTATTTCGGAACCGGGTAAATAGTCACCACCGTATTAAAACCGCAGAATTTTCAGATTCAAGATGCCGATCACCCGTTCGCAAGGAAGGGCAGCCAAGGCGTGGACCGTCGGTCTGGAAGGAGGTTCGTCGGCCAGTAACGCCGCCGTCCACCACCAGATGCCACCACGCTCACCGTCAACGGTAGAGGGCGCTGAGGTGCCATGCTGCCCCCCCCGAGGGGGGATACCCCTGCCCGCGCCGTCCACTACGGCCCGCACATTGAAGCAGAGGGAACATATAGAAGACAACGATGACTTTAGCCGTGCATCATCGCCACCAGCCCGGGAAGACACCCACACCGTAGAGCCACCGAGGGGCCACACCGATTGCAGTACGAAGTCAAAGAAGACTGTTCGGCCCAATAGAAAAATTTTGAAGGCTCGTGAAGAAGTATTGAAGATCAAACTAGAACTTGCGCAGATCTCCTTGCAGATGGCTGTGGAAGAGGACGAATCGAACGACTATGATGAAGATGGTCACTCCAAAAGTGAGTACGTTCGATCTTGGCTCGAAAACTCTGTAGCCAAACAAAATTCAAATCAAGGCGCAATCACCGGAGGGAAGGCACCATTTAATAAAACCGTTACAAAGCCGACCCCGGACGTTGTCGACCTCAGTGAGCCCCAAAAGGAGCTCACGAACCAGGATTCCTATCCAGAAGATGCACAAAAGCATCCCATGCCACAGAAGCTCAGCCAGGAACCCACCGTTGATGAAGACAGGGGGCTCCTACCGATTGTATCAGAGCTCACAAACCAGGATTCCTATCCAGAAGATGTACAAAAGGATCCCAATCCAAAGAAACCTAGCCAGGAACCTGTCATAAGTGAAGACAGGGGGCTCCGTCCGTTTATATCGGAGCTCACATCCGCTATAGCCGCGCTCGCTGACAAACCAAAGTTAGAGAGTGCGCCACTATCGTCGCATACTTTCGCAGCGTCGAAAGCTATAATGACACTGCCAAGCTTTAGCGGAGCACATACCGAGTGGCTTTCATTCCGTGCCATTTACGAAACAACCCGAGGCTACTTCAATGACATTGAAAACACTGCTAGACTAAGACGAAGTCTACAAGGAAGAGCCTTGGAAACAGTCAGTTCAGAACTCATCGAGCATGCTAAGCTAGATGAGATTATGCGAGAACTGGAGCTACAATTTTGGCGTTCAGATTCAATCGCGCAAGCAGAAACCGAGAAGTTACGAGGATTAGCACGCTGTACAGAAGCGCCCAGAGACATCTGCACATTCGCGAGCAAAGTGAGGGGAAGCGTCGTCACTCTTAGAGCCCTAAAGCGAGATCATTACCTCGTCAACGCAGAGCTGCTACGACACCTCACCGACAAACTGCCAAACTCTATACGTGACCAGTGGTATAGAATATACACTGAAAAATACGACTCTAGACCAGACCTCGGCTGCTTCAGCGAGTTTATTACCGAGCAAGCTCGCTTCTGCAGTGCATTCGCGCCTCCAGAAATTATAAACGAAGCACAAAGCAATCGTTCAGTACATAGAGCACACGCGGCCACTACTAAGCCGTCTCCGAAATGCAGAGTGTGCGAAAAAGAGGGTCACTACGGATCTGAATGTAAAAAATTAAAAGAAGCAGATATCAACAAAAGATGGGAACTCGCAAAGCAAAATAATTTATGTTTCCGCTGTTTACGTTATCGAAATCAGACGCACAAATGCAAAACCAATAAGTGTGGAATAAAAGGATGCACCGCGACACACAATCGACTTCTCCATAATAATACAAAGGAGAAGACTGAGGTCAAACAAAAAGAACCTCAAGAAACCGTTGCTAACTCATTCAATGTGTCAAAGCATCAAGCCTATTTAAAAATAATTCCAGTGCGAGTAATTGGACCGGCGGGAG